CTACAAAATCATGCTTCTCTGAGGTTAAATAGCCTCATGGTATTTTTGCTTTCCTATACAAGGGAATATAGCCAGTCTTTTATAATCAGACTCAAACATGAAAATATAAACAGATCCCAAATGTATAATAAGGAGATAGCAGTGAATTATGAACAAGCGTGGTTATAGACAACCAAGTTTTACAATCACAATGGTCATTTTACCCAGGTTACTTAATTGTATGTGTACAGATACAATTGTAACTCTAAAGAATCAAAAAGCACTTCCTGAGCAGTTTGATACAGTAGTTAAATTTACCTGAGTGTAACATCTGCCTCAGCACTTTCCCCACCTTCGTTAACAAAAAATACCCTCAATTCCTGGCAAAGACAGGTGCACATAGAGAAGTGAGAACAGACCAGATTTCAGAAAAGCTATAGTCAAAAAACCAAAAAACAACCAACCAACCAACCAACCAACCAACCAACCAAAAAACACTACCAAAGAAAACCCCCAGTAAACCTGTTAATGAAGGTGGGCCCACCAGGACTGAGCCTTGCTTGTCTATTTGTGCCTTTGAGCAACCTGTGGTAACAACACTGAGCAGCTCCCTTCCCATGACAGCCAAAATGTTACAGATATGAAGAAAGTTAAGCTCTTATTTAAGTGAAATATGGATATAAATTGTAACACACTTTCATAAACCAGAGAAGTATAATTCATCATGAACATTAGGGAATCAGAAAAGCTCAACTGTCTTTTTCCTAGAAAAATCCAAGGAAACCAGATTTTTGCAGAGAAGTAGATCCAAATTATATTGGTGTGCCAAGATATTTTTCAGAAGTACAACTGACAATTAGGTATTTAGAAATACCTTGATAAAGAAAAATTTCCTGCTTAGAAATAAGAGACAATAAATACTTGTGTCTACAAAAATAGCAAATTTCTTCTGAAATTATTTTTTACTGTTTTGTTATTGTGGTTCTTTTTGCAGGTGTTGCTGCTTTGGATTCCAGTGTTTCTGGGAAAATTGGTTTGCGAGCAGTCATATATTATTTCTGCACTACGGTCATTGCTGTAATACTAGGTACTCTGTGATACTGTAACTTTTTTAAGTCCTCAGTTCTTCATAATTACACGTATACAGCACTGTGACATTACTGATTTCTGAAGGCAGGATGGGGAGGAGACATAGAAATTGTACCAAACAACTTGACGTACTTGTAGCCAGGCAGAGGGAGAAGTCAGTCGCGGTGTTCACCGCTGGGATGTATTTGTATCCAGTATGAAGCCACGGGCAGCCTTGTCATAAATTTCATGTCAGGGAAGGTTGGGAGCTGTGTGCTTAGGTGAACAGTGACCAGCAGTGGGAAAGCTGTACGAACACCAAAGGCCAGCCTAAACTACAAAGTGAATTTCCTCAATAGCAAAATGATAGATTCATTTCATTGGTTCATTTACTTCCTAAAAGGCTTTTGTCCCCTTTGTCACTGCCAGGCTCACTCCTACTTCTCTAAAGACCACAACTCCTCTTGCAGGAATTTAATTTCCTGTAAGCAACCTTGAAATCTTCCATATTTACTTAAACAAACATCTTCAGCCTGTCTTCTTAAATAAGAAAATTAAACTTTCCTATGTCAGATGTCATGTAGTTTGTGGCTTATCTTTGTATTTTGTTGAGCCTGAGTGAATACTGTGCCTAGGTATCACCCATTAAAAAAAAAATTATTTATCTGCAGGACAGAATGTATATTGTATGCAGCCTACTTCTAAAGTAAAGCAATATTTAACAATAGAAAAAGAATCACATACAGACATATAAGACCAGAGTAATTTCTACAGGTTGTATCGCTGATAATAATATATCAGTGCAGTTACACTGTTTAGCCTGTCTCAGCCATCTGGGAATTTTCTATGAATGCAGAGTGAGCAAATAAAGACTAACATTCATATGTATCTAACTTTGAAATTGTCCTTGCCCTGAAAAAGGGCTTAAACCAGGTAATCTTTATAGGTCTCTGCTATTCTAAGTTATTCTAAGATACTATGATTGTGCAGATTTAGACAAATTCAGTTCTGCTTTTACTCACAGCTGTCATTAGAAAGCCTTGTTCCTGGCTGCTTGAGGGGTCAGCCAAATGCCCCTTTCTCCATACACTGACATTTAGTACTTTCATTTGCTTTAGATTTGTTTGGATTTGGGGAGAACATGAAATTTAAAATATCTGCATTTGGAAAGGCTTAATATATTTTATAATGCTAAAAATGCCTGAAATGTAGCTGCTAACATAAATGGAAACTTGATTTTAGTATTCACAAGGTCAAAACTAGCATTTCTTGCCCATAGTTTTTTATTTCAGTCTGTTTCTGAAGCCCTTCTCTTAAGTAATTTTATTGCTAACTAACTTTACCAAAGCATCCTGTTGCACTTCGAGGTCACAGGACAAAGCACTTGTATTCACAACTGAAGGCTAGCTAGTAACAAGAAGAGCAGCAGAAGGGAAGCAGTAAACTGCAAAGCAAAACTCAAAATATCACCATGCAAAAGTTGCAGAACACTTCAGCTGAATCCCAGCTGAAGTAATTTACCCTCTTGGTGAGCAGTAGTGATTTAGTACCGCACATGCAACCACAAAGCTAGAATGCCCAAGTCCTGTGGCGGGGCAGCGAGTAGCTCCTGTGTTGGGGAAACCCACGCATTCAAGGATAACACCTGTAGACTTCTCTTTGCTGAGCAGCCCTGCATGAGCACCCAGAGAAAGTGTCTAGTGAGTTTAGCTTGCAAAGAATTTAGCTACACGAGATGCACTGAGGCGGGATACAGCAATGCCTTTGCTTGCTGTGAGCTCTTCTGGTTTTCCTTCTGCAGGGATTGTCTTAGTTGTGACCATTAAACCTGGAGTGCCTCAAACAGCAAACGAGATTGACAGAGTGGGTAGTACACCAGAAGTCAACACTGTTGATGCCATGCTGGATCTGATTAGGTGAGGTTTTCTTTTTTAGCTTCCATATCCTTATTGCAAAGTATGAACAAATACAAATAAAATTGTGATGTGTATGTAATACAATAAAAATGCTTTCTAATGTTTCGATAAATGAGAGAATAACTTGTATTCCAATAGGTCAGGCATTTTATAGTATATTCAAAGCAGATTGTTAAAAATATGTCCCTTTACACCTTAGACTTTGGTTAATAAACAAATGACACTAAGAATTCCCTCCTTCACAGGAGGGATTTGATTGACAAGATTTACCTGTTATGAGGACAGTACCCAGAGAGGGTTGAATGATTGTCAGGTTACTGACTGGCAGTTTCTCTGTCATCTGTCACAGACATCGCCTGAAACTGCAGTTGTTTCCTGTCCTCAAGACAGGGTGCAGAGTAACAGATGCAGTATGCAAGGGCTTCTTATGGTTCACAATCCACAAATTCGCTGCATCACTGGTACCTAAGGCAACCTTATAATGTGACTTTCCCCATCAGCATCCTGGAAAATTATAGATACTTCAAGTGCTTAGAAGAAGGCAATCCCTAGAAAAGTCTACAGAAGACTTGAGCAGGTTTTCAGAGCTGACATGTTTAAGGAATTAGAAAAAAATGACAAAAATGGGCTGCATTTCCAACAGTGGCTAAGTAGTTCCCTCAGAAATATTTCTAGATTTTTTTTTTCCTCCAGCTGCAATTATTTTCTCTTCTGTGTATTCCCGACCATTATTTTATTTTTCTAGATTTTTTACTTATTCTATCATGTAAGAAGCAACAGCCACATACCTAAAATTGGCTTTACCAGAACTTTTTAATGTCAGGAAATGTGATTGTTATTTGCAGATGCAACTCCAAATACACAGTTCCTTGAGACCTGTAAAAAATTCACATGCATATATACGTATATGTACATATCTGCCTTGAAAAAGCCATTGTCCTATTTAATAGCTCTTTGAAGAAATTATGCTTTAAAAACTTGCAAAACAAAGGCAGGATTTTGTGAAAGATTTGGATGGTAGATAAAGAGTTCTGCTTCAACATATAAGCTCCTTTTTCCCATGCTGAACTGAGTATTTAATAAATAACTAATGAATATTTTTTCTGCAATCATTTGAATGTTAAATCAGCAGTTGGAAAAGAGGTGTACAACTGTATTACACTGCTTCTGAAGTAATTTTCTAATTTTTCAGTGTGCAGAAATTGTTCTTTACTTTGGAATAACACACGAGAATCTTCCATCGGCCAGGATTAATCTCTGAATTCAAAACTACAATGGAGCACACCAAGTATCTCATTCTTCGAGCACAGTGTTTATCAGAGGGGTCTGCAATTTGTTTTGCCTGTATTTGAAAAGTACTTTTAAAATGGTGTGGCCTGTATTCCTTATGAACACGATGGTGATGATGCAGCATGGAAAAAAAACAAACCACTGAGTTTAGTAGCTTGCAAACAAATATCAAATACTGAAAAACAATCCCAAAAGTTCAACAGTAGGAAAACAGTCAGCTGATCCTTGGGAATCCTGAACCCTTAATTTCTGTGGACTTTATATCTGATGGTGCTAAATACACTGCTTTCTGGATAAAGGAACACAACCCAATCTGTTTTTCAAGCAGCAGATTCTATCTTTTTGTTTGTGTAAACAACTTGTTCTCAGTATGCTATAATGCTGAAATGCCTGTACTTTTTTAACAGGAATATGTTCCCAGAAAACCTTGTCCAGGCCTGTTTTCAACAGGTAAGTTCAAACATTTTATTCTTCTTTTATGTGCCCCAAAACTATGTCAGGTAAGAAGTATTTCTAAGAAATCCAGGATTACCTTAATCTCCCATAAAAAGACTTTTTTTAAAGGCATCTTTGTTTCATTTCCATTATGGTAAATACTATTATCAGCTATTAAGTCCTGTATCATCCCTTGCAAAAATGCAGTGTTTAGGAGCTGGGTGCAGAAACCAAGCTGTGTATAATGCAAAATTTTTCCTTTTGGCACAGGCAGAGTTACAAGAACCATGTCATGAGGATCTACTTCCTTGTGCTTAAAACCCATCAATGTCTGATGAAATCTGTGTAACTTAGCCCTCACCCCGACGTGTCTCACATCTAGTGTCCATAGCCAGACCTGATGATTAAGGGAGAGTCTGCCAACTGGTAGAGTCTATTTGAGACCTTTCAGAAAAAGTGAGATTTGCAAGATGAAAGAGAAAACCACTGCCTATCAGATTTAATTCAGATTCAGTCATCTTGATCTGTAAATATATCAACTGTTTTTTGTGGTGCTTTCTGCCTCCCTTTTTTGTCTTGCCCAGAAGCTTGCCTACCCATTTATCTGAGTTTTGTAGGTAAGGTAGCTAACCTTTCCCAGGAAATGATGTCAACTGTCCTTCTGTGCACAGCACTGAATGTATTTCCAGTTCATAAAATTTCCACATGTAGTTACTTTCACAGGTTAATTACTGTCATCTGACACCAAGGGGACAGACGGGTTCTTTTAGGAATCTTGGCAGAATGATGACAACACTAAATCATAGTTACAATGAAAGTTTTATTTTCTTAACGCCATATTATGATTAGTATAGCACAGAATTTATAATCAGAGTAGCACAGGATTTCTGTTAGCAGAATCACTGCAGTACAATTTTATAATAGCAGCACTTTGTTCATGATTTCTATTCACCTAGGCCCTCTGCAGATTGGGTCAGATTTTAACACATGGCTTGCTCTATCAACATAACAATCATAATCTAGATTTGAGAAACATATAAAAGTGTATGAATCACTCCCTCAGTCCTCAGAGAAAACACACAGCCATGGAAGCGTCCCTGGCCACCAAGGGGTCCTGGCCATACTGTCCAGCAGCAGATTCCATCCATGTTTCCCCTCAGGACTTGTAACTGCTTGGTTTTACAGACAGTGCTCTGGGTGCCATCACACTTCCCTCTTCTGTGGTGGGGTCACCAACACCACAGGGTCAGCTGGGTGCCCGGGACCTTCCAGGCTGGTAAGGAAGGGGGTTATTGGCCTGATGCCCAGGAACCTTGAGGCCAGCAGGAAGGAGAGGAAGAAATCAGTCTGTTTTGTGTATGTGGTGCACAGGATCTTCAAGGCTTGAAAATGAGGAGAGAGGGAACAAATATGTACATGACCAGCTCAGCCACAGAGAATGGCTGCTGCCTTATAAAATGGCATTACTTGAGCTAATCATATTACCAGGGGCCTGGTTGTGTCAGGTGCATCTGTTCTACAGACCTTTCCTGCAGTGGCTATCACCAATTCTCTCCAGACTGTCCCAGCAAAAAAATCCCCTTGCCATTGTCAGGAGCTGTGTGTCATTCCCACAAGAATGCACCAGGTCCACAGGGCACCTGAGAGCCTGGGGAGCAGAATTCATGGCATATTATCTGTGAATCACTTGTTTGATCTACAGCAGCTGAAGTATGGAACTGCAATGACTCACATGAATTGGGAAATAATGTATTTGCTTGTCTGTGCTACCTTCAGGTCAGATTGGTTCATTTTTTCTGTTACTTTTACAGAGCAAAGGCTATGTCTTTGTCCATTCTTCAGTTTCCTCATGTTTCTAAATAAGCTCTTCTGTTTTTTTAAAAACTTCTTCAGTATAAAACCAAACGTGAAAAAGTCAAAGCTACAACTGACATGGATAAAAACAGCTCCACATTTACAGAAGAAACTGTTACAACTGCCACGACAGCAGAGGCTTCAGAGGTGTGACCTTTATTGTTATATTCCTTAATAACATATTAAGTGGGGAGAGACAACACAGAATAAATTTGGTTTTGTTGATGTTCTTAGTGATTGAGAAAGGGAAGGAAATGGTACATAGGGCACAAAACTTAATAAGTAAATGCTAGAGGTGATTATGAAGATCTTCAGGTAGGTTTAAGAACACCAGACGACTCCACTGGTAATTAAATAGTCCAAAAATAATAGGTTATTTGAGAAAGTAATCCACTGATATACTCCATTAAATGCATATGTTAATGAATTGTCCTTTTATTGAGAAATTAAAGGAAGCAGTCACTGTGGAAAGACTAGACATGTATCAGCATGGATGTCTGAGCAGCAATGAGATAACTGTAAGCACTGCAGAAAGGAAGGAATAGAAAATCATAGTAATTATTCTGAATGGAGAACAAAACAACGGAAGGTGTTTGTTACTCTGAAAAAAAAATGTAAAGCGACAAAACTGAAGATGTTTAACAAGCCTCTGAATAGAGGTGTGAAAAGCTTATGGGTGGTCATAGTTTATAAAGCCTAGACTTAAACTGGAGGAGGAGAAAGGAATTTAACAGAATACAAACACAGAACTGTGAACAATACCAAATAAATATGCATTTTATTATACTCCTTCCAAATTTCATGTCATACTAATGAAAGCATGGGAACATGAGCTATATGAAAAAACATGAATTAAATCCTGAAGCAGTATATAATGATGAATTACATGCCTTCTTTCACATATTCATACTGCACAAACTCAGAGGAATGTCACACATATACCTATTTATCCTATTTAGTATTATTTTTATATTGTGTATGTACGATTCTGCTATAAATTCTGCAATTTTACTGATTTCAGTTGAACAGCTTGGGGCAAAATTGGATGCCATTGTCTCAGTTCTTACACAAATGTCTGTTTATCTTAAATCCAGATGTAAACCCTCAGGTTGCTCAGAAATAACCACAAAGATTCTACGTTAGCTGTATTTTGTTCCCCACGGTAGGGAGTAAGTCTTGAGTATATTGGAGGCATGACTGTGGATACTGAGACCTTGCCAGACTTCATGTCAGAAGTCTACAGAAAGGGCAATATAAATTGAGGAGTGCTTTATCTCCTGCTAGGGTTTGGTCAGATTCTTGCATAGGTTTAAAATACAAAGCTTTCAAAGACTATTTAGTTCTGCCTTCATTCCTGAATTTGCCCACTTCATACTGCCATGAAGGGAGCACAGTGACTGGTGAGGAGCTCTGTGTCTTTTCAAAGAAATATTTAAGTGTGTTTTCATTTTAGAACTCTTTAAAGTAAGTTCAGTGTTTTCAAACAGTAACTTTCTTCTCTTGAATCTAATCTGTAGAACAAAACCCAAGAATACAAAATCGTGGGCGTGTATTCTGATGGCATCAATGTGCTGGGGTTGATCGTCTTTTGTCTTGTTTTTGGAGTGGTTATTGGGAAAATGGGAGAGAAAGGACAAGTCCTTGTGGATTTTTTCAATGCACTGAACGAAGCTACAATGAGAATAGTTCAGATAATTATGTGGTAAGTCCACGGACATGCTGGCATTTTCTTACTTCTTTCAGTCGGTTTTGTCACTGAAGGGTAGGAGCAGACTCATATTTCCTGTTTGCTTTTATATGGTGCTTTACAGCACATAACTTCAAAAGAAAGGCTGGTAAAAAGTTTCCCTTCTACAGAATTTGATCCTTTTGAGGTAACTGGAGAGAAGGCTTCCACTTACTGTATATTAAAGGAACAATCCTCTCAGCACACAAGAAACCTGAGATTTTCAGACATTCTTGCTAAAGGTTTATGTCAAACCAGTACAACTGCACTACTGATCTGAGGGCTGTAGGAGCATTACCACCCATATGCCATTCTCAGTCCTGAATACTTTTCCCTGACAGCAATTAGGTTCACAGGATAGCTGTCCTTGGAGCTAAGTTCCTTTAGAAATATAAACTAATATACAAGCCAAAGGACAGAGCAAAATCCAAAATGGTACGCAAAATACAAAATGGTACGCAAGATACAACTTGGCATCATTTACCTTTAGCTAATAGGTTTTGTGGATAACATTCTTACAATATTCTCTCATTCTCAGGTAGGAAAAACAATTTTAAAATGTCACAACTCATCTGATAGTGTTTGGTTGGACTTCACAGCTATTCACAGAGTTTTTGTCCATGTAGACCACAATTACAGGGTCAGGATTATAAGTACACACAGTACATTCCCAGTTTGATCCTACGAGTTCAGTGCCTTCTGCCATTTACTACAATAATCTGCTCGTATCTGCATGTTACACACAAACAATAGCTTATAAGATCTGGCCCTTCCATGGATTTTTCTTCCTCTCCAGCACACTGAGATACCTGTAAAACACTAAACATACCCAGGGTTTAGTTACACATTTCTTTCTGCCTTTAAAGAAAGGTAAATTAGTTTCTTCAACTTGTCCTGTGCTAGGCAGCTGGTTCTGTTCTCAGCTGCATTACAGCTCCATGAAATATGTGCCTCACTCTGCAGCAGATTACCACTAACAAGACTCCAGAGTTAACACATGCCATCAACACAGGATCCTACCCATAAGCTGACTGTCCATTGTCTTGCATGTGTCTGAAGCCGTGGCTACAGGCTCTCTATGTTTCTACAGATCTGGGAGCTGTTGTCTTGAATAAGGTAGAGCTTGATGCTGGCAGTGTGAGGAATTATTTCTGCTTTTACCAGATTCAGGGCTCAGAAGGAACTGAGTCCCTGCTTTGCACAAGGACAAGGTACAGTTTTATTTGTGAGATAGCACACACACATGTTATAATTGTATAATATACATTCTTGAATAGTTACATTTTATATATTCACAAAATACTTTATGCTACTCAAAGCTCTGAAGTGGCAACTGGTCCCTGTAACGGCCTGTTCTCTAGTGCCAAAAGGAATGTAGTGGAGCTAGCTCTAGCATAAGTCCTGATTTTTAGCTTGAATTTTCTGTAGGCAGTAGCCCATGCAGCTATTCATGTCTATAAAGCAGAGCCTTGTGTAAGCTTACTGGGGGATAGGGACCCCTCCAGCAAGCAACACATTGATGACTCTACTATCCCAACATACTGAACTTGCTCTTATTCTATGTGGGTGACCCGCATATAGTCCCCAGTGCTGCAAGGCAGCTGCTGTGAGCACAGGAGACCTTTCCCATTTGTGTGTGATTGCACCATGCACAGATACTGGTCTCAGCCCTGCAGACTTTGACCTCCAAGCTTATGGCCATGAATAAGCATCTGCTGCAGTAGGGTGAAGCCCACTCCCCAACTTCCATGTATCCTTTGACACCAGGTCATACAGTACTTGTTAGTTTATGTATAGGTTACATCTGCTCTGATTTTCTAATCTTTTTCATCACCTCTATTGTAATCCTTCTGCACATTAATAAAGTCAGTTATAAAATAACTAATTGTACTATAATAATTATTATAACTAACTATAACTGTATAACTAACTCAGATATAATATTTTAAAACTTCAGTTGTGTAATAAAATATAAAATTAATCTTCCATCTGTTGTAAAGTTGTATTGTGCAAGAAATTATTCCACGGTGAGCACACTATTTCTGAGAATGCATTTTTTAATTGCTTTATTTTTGCTTTCCAGGTATATGCCAATTGGTATTGTGTTTTTAATTGCTGGGAAGATAATAGAAGTTGAGGACTGGGAAATCTTCCGTAAACTGGGTCTTTATATGGCTACAGTACTAAGTGGGTATGTAATTTCTTACAGATTAAGTTAAATGTGTTCAGTTTTTAGAGCTTACTTGATTATAACTCAGTTATCCAAAACACTCAGCCTCTTCTAGGTCAGAGATAAAGATTCTGAGAATAAAAGTGACAATTAAAAGTGAGGGTGTGTGAGGATGTTGGATGCACTGAATGCACATTTTGCTGCTTACATGTTTTGTTCTAAAAAGTCACTGCCTTGCATTCTAGAAAACAAAGAGCAAAGGCTGTTCTTGTATTCATTGCTTCATCTTCTCAGCTTGGTTCTAAAACAGAATTCATCATTGTATTTTTAAGAGTAGTAATGTTTCTGTTAGATACTAGAAGTTGGAAAAGTGTGAGGTTGTGAATTATGGTTTATTGGGAGTTGCCAGCCTATTGAAAATACGCAGATATCTGAATTAGGTTGGAGCCTCTGTGTGCCCAAGGTGTACCAGCACAGGCCCAGCTCCACTGCCCAGTGCAAACGCATCGTCAGTGCAGTGCCCGATAGGTGAGACCAAAGAGGGAACTAATCCTCTCCCACCTCCTGACACTGAGAGGAGCCCTGGAGGTTGCTCTGTTAGTTACTTACTCTGTCACAGCAAAGGTAGCTGATGAAGCTGCAAAAGTTGCTCTCTCAGTAACTTAGCCAAGCATCAGGACATTTTTTTGCCTCTTTTTTTTGTAGACTGTTGGCTGTGTAGAACAGTCTGGGGTGGAGTAGGTTACAGCTGCACAATGATGCCTGTTACCACTCGCAGCAGTTAGGTTGCTCCTTTTAAGGGTCCCGCATTAACTACCTGAAGTGATGTAGGTTATGGTACTAGATCATTATGTATCTCTGAAGACTATCTACAAACAACCCTTTTGATAGATAAATGGGTATCGCAGTCCAAATAAGTTATATGCAGTTAAATTTCTATTTCCAGTTCAGTGAAGCGTAACTCCTAGGCGCTCTTGGTTCATGGCCTTAGCACCCATTCCTGTAATTCCTTCAGTATACTACGGATTCATTCACGTTTTGTCTAGAGACTAGATTCAAAGTTGTTAAAGAGCTTCTTTCCCCCCACTTCATGCACATGCATTCTATTCTTCTAATGTCATCCACACACTTTCTGACAAGCAAGCAGAGAGAAAGATAATATATTAGACTTAAATACAAACTTCTCCACAAGTAGTCAAGAAAGATTTTTTTTTTACATTAATCTTTGCTAGATAATAATATTTATTTCAAAATTGTTGTTTTATTTTACGCATAACCCAGTATGTTTGGACTATCTGTTAAAAAGTAGTTTGAGATATAATGACTTTCTAAGTAAAAATTACAGCTCCAGAAATAGTACTGAATCGTTGCTTTCTCAAAATGTTACAGAGAAGAGTGCAAGCTATGTTTATCTAATGCATAATGCAAGTTTTTGTGAGCTGCCATTTAGACCTGGAAATTAAATCAAGGTTTTAAAGGATGCAAAAGGTGATTTTTACCAAGAGACTATGAATCAGGACACAAATGTTTTCTATGTAAATTATAAATGAGACCATGACCACAAGTTAGACAGACATCATTTATAGAATGACACTGTCACTGCTGCAGATTTTCTATGTTATGCACTCCAGTTAACTCAGAGGAGGAATATGTTGGTTGGATTATTACTGCCCTTTGACTTCAGTTTTAGATCAGATAAGGAAGCTTTACAGTTTTAGATCTAATAAACAACTTTTATGGCTGTTTAGCTATTAATGGTTATGATTTGTACTCGGACAGGGCGTCTTCCTTAAGATGTGTGTGGAGACACACTGCCTTCTCCAGAATGCTTCAATTGCAAAGAAAACTACCACCATATATAGTCTTCCATTTAGCTGATAACCATGGGTCTGACAGGCACAACAATTTTAAGTAGGTTATTAGCTGCCATCAAAAATACTGTATATAGTAAGGGTGTCCACCTTTACATCCTTGGATAGAAAAAGTATCTGTTCTACTGAAATCCTTTTCACATGCCACAGTTTTCCCTGAGGGGTGCTAGGGTAGATATCTGCATCATTTCTGTCTCTTATGGGATGGCCTACAGTGGGCGATGCTCAAGGTGTTGTGGAGAAGGGCTAACAGCATCAAAACCAACCCATCAGGGAGAGCATGTTATGATTAGATTATGGGAGCAAAGATAACAATGTACACACAAGGCTACAGGCTTTAGGGAAAAGCTGCTTGTTTTCCAGCCTCCAAGAATACCCTTTGTCCCACCTCTCAGCAAAGAGGGAAAGCTGTGCTTTTTCTTTGGTTTGGTTTCTTAAACACTGCTGTTCCCACCGTCTTTTTGGCTTTCATCTTTATTTGCTTGACCTTGTCTGTTTGCAACGTGTTCTGTTCATCAGCATCTTCTGTAGCTGTCTGTCATCCTCCATTTAATATTGATGCTGAGAATTACAGGTTATCTTAAACATATTTATTGTATGCCCTATCAAGAAAAATGTGCAAGAGCATAAGGTCTGGTGGGTCTTATCCTCCTCTTCCTTTCCTTTAACTTCCCTCTCCAGCTCATCTTCTATCTCACCTTCTTGCCAGCTCCCTTACTCAGGACCTTTCGCATCATTAGCCCTACCAGGTAATACCAGCCCTACCCACCACTATCTGCAGCACACCGCAGTCTTTATGTCCCACTTGGGTCACCATGAAGAAACACTTCTCTCAGTGGCTCTGCTGCAGCTGGCCACTAAGTACCTTCTGCTTCTCACTTTTAATGGTTGCCATGTTAGCAGTCACAGAGGGGGAAGATCAAAGTAGAAGGTATAATACAAGTGCCAGAGCACTCGGCCTAAGATGGGGGGAAAAAAACAGAAGGAAGCTGCAGGGAGCAGACTCTGTCTTGCCTGTGCCTTTGTCCCTTCTGAAAGCAGCAAGGCGGCTGCATCACTGGACACCATAAGGATTGCGAGTTTGGGATTCTGAGGGACAAGTTTCTGTGTGAAATTGGACGATTCGATGATTCTATGATATTAGAATTTCTCTTTTCAGTTGCTGATTATGCTTTTCAGTATAAAAAATTTGTTGCTTTTTGTTAGTTGTATTTTGTGCATGAAAATAAATATTACTTTGAGTTTGTTTTATGAAAGTCAGTAGTAGCATGGGGTAGCAGAAAAGCAAATATGCAGAAATACTTTATTTTGCGTAACACAGTGTTCATGCTGCCACTAAAAAAGTGCAGATCTAAATTTTTCAGAATAGGTATTGGGAAGTCAGTATGCTTCTAGATGTAGATGTACATGAAATGTTTACTTTCATCAACATTTTGTTAAGACACCCAGGGACTCCCGTACCACTATAGATTTTTTTCTGTATGTTCTGCAGAATTCATTATGTTCTCAGGCACCATTGCATAAATTATTAGATTTCTTTCCAAAGTTCTTTACAAAATTTTATCAATACATGTTGAATGCTTTTATTTACATTCCACTAAATATACATTTCACCAAATATATCGTTTGTTCACATACAGAATGAAAACCTTAATGCCTTTTGGTTTTAAAACTATATTTTTTCCAAGGAAGCAAATAGTTGGGTTTTCTTGGTGATTTTTTGTGCTGTTGTGAATTCCCATACTATGTCTACTACTCTCTTAACTGCCTATTTTTGGTAGAACAAATGGTACCATGATTTATCGCTATCTTTATCAGCTGTTCTGAAATTATAAAGCACTATTACAACACAGTAAAATTCACAAGAACAGCTTGTTAGGACAGAATAAAAATCTCAGGGTCATACATGACATCAGTCCTGGGCTTTATGTTTCTTGGCTATGATAGTTTCTTTTTCACAACAAGCAGAGGTTGCTGTAATTGCTTGAGACCTTAAAACATAGGAAATATTTCACAGTCCCTTTGCATACACTTAATTTCAAATATACAGATAGCAGGCTGTTTACCTCTAATCTTAAAGCCCACAAAGCTCTGCATTCGTATGCATTCAGGGTTAATGCACAGTGTTCGGAATTAATGCACAAATTGGAATATGAACTTGACCCTGAAACCCACCGAAATCACAGAATCATAGAATTGTTTAGGTTGGAAAAGACCTTTAAGATCAAGTCCAACCATTCACCTAACTGTTGAGTCCACTGCTAAACCACATCCCTAACCATCATATTCTGCACTTTTAAACATGTCCAGGGATGGTGACTTCCCCACCTCCCTGGGCAGCCTGTTCCAATGTTTGATAACCATTTCAATGAAAAACTTTTTCCTAATACCCAATCTAAACTTCCCCTGGTCAACTTGAGGCCATTTTATCCTATCGCTTGTTACCTGGGGGAACAGACCAGCCCCAACCTCACCACAACCTCCTTTCAGGTAGTTGTAAAGAGTGATAAGGTCACCCCTGAGCCTCCTTTTCACCACGCTAAACAACCTGATTTCCCTCAGCTGCTCCTTATAAGACTTGTGCTCCAGAGCCTTCCCCAGCTTCACTGACCTTCTTTGGGCACACTGCAGCACCTCAATGTCTCTCTTGTAGTGAGGGCCCCAAAACTGAACACAGTATCTGACATGTGGCCTCACTGGTGCTGAGTCCAGGGGCACAATCACCTCCCTACTCCTGCTGGTCACACAATTTCTCATACAGGCCAGGATGCTATTGGCCTTCTTGGCCACCTGGGCACACTGCTGGCTCATGGTCAGACAGGTCTCTACCAGCACCCCCAGGTCCTTTTCTGCCAGGCAGCTTTCCAGCCACTCCTCCCCAAGCCTGGAGCATTCTATAGGGTTGTTGTGGCCCAAGTGCAGGAGCTGACACTTGGCCCTGATATCCAGGCAGGTACACCTGAGCAGCTGAAGTCAAGAGGACAATCTGACTTTTCATGTCAACACACTCAATTTTAAAATTGAGTTTCAAAAGGCAGTATTTCAGCATCATATAACATTAAAGATGGTGACACTACTTAGATCTCATTTGTACAGTGTGAAATAACCTCACTGCCTTTTAATTGTAGATATAAGCTTACAGAGTTTTCCACAAAGTAAGTGTAGCTTTTTTTATAGGATCATGTTTGAAGTTTCTGCAGAAAGATTTGGACTTCATTTATCCCTGAGTAGGAATCGTATTTACCTTTAATTCCAAAACATGTTCTATAGTAAAGCCAGATAAACTTAGAAAAATCATATGGTTGTTTTTTTCTGTTTTTTTCTTGCCTGTATTGTAAGGATCTGGCAGGACAGTGTAGCATTTTAGCATTACTTCAAATCACCCTCTGCATACTCATTAAATATTATTTATTACTTTAGTTTTCTCATCTTCATCAGCTTACAATTATTTCCAATATATTACTTAATTCTTGTTCTATTTTGGAAAGAGTTACAATGAATTATCTCTCCCTTTCCCCTTCCAAAAAAAAAATGTAGAACGGCATTGTCTGCAATTTTTTTAAGGTGGTATAATCTCTAAATTTTGAACATAGATGTCACTGAAGTCACTTTTATTGTTTTATAAGTGTACTTGAGGACAGAACGAGATACCTGTTAGAACCAGCTTACTAAAACAAGGCAGTGAGATGGATCCAGTTGTTTAACTAGTCTATTTTATTTTGCAGACTTGCAATCCATTCCACCATAATTCTGCCACTGATCTACTTAATAATAGTAAGGAAAAATCCTTTTCGGTTTGCCATGGGGATGGCTCAGGCACTTCTGACAGCCCTCATGATTTCTTCCAGGTAAACAAAAGAACCATTTATTTTCTGTAATGTTCTTAGTAGTAACTGCATAATTTGTGCTGTCATTGCATTGCTACTTTGCTACATACCCTGATTTCACCCGGGCAATGCTCGTTCCCCCAGAGGTTGGAAGACCACTTCCATCACCAGTTCTGTAGTACCCAAAGGGGCACTGCAGGTTGCGCTCACAATCTACAGATGAGAGCCTGCCACTCCCAGGCAGAGACAGCTCTTTGCCATTCATTGAATCACTATGGTTGGAAAGGACCTCTAGGATCATCAAGTCCAGCCTTCATCCCAGCATCTCCCTAACCACTAGACCATAGCCTCATGTGCTACATCTCATTTTTTGAACACCTCCAGGGTTCACCACCTCCCTGGGCAGCCCATTCCAGTGCCCAACCACTCTTTCAGTGAAGAAATTTTTCCTAATATCAAACTAAAACCTCCCCTAACACAACTCAAGGCCATTTCCTCTTGTCCTGTCATCAGTAATCTGGGAGAAGAGACCAACACCCGCCTCACTACAACTTCCTTTCAGGTAGTTGTAGAGAGGTCTCCTCTCAGTCTCCTCTTCTCCAGACTAAACAACCCCAGTTCCCTCAGCTGGTCCTCACAAGACGTGTTTTCCAGACCTCTCACCAGCCTTGTTGCCCTTCTCTGGACACACTCCAGCACCTCAATGTCCTTTTTCTACTGTGGTGCCCAAAACTGGACACAGTACTCAAGGTGCATCTCACAGAGTGCCACGTCCAGGGGCATGATCACCTCCCTATTCCTGAGAATAACTAAGACTTTGCTATTTTTTTCCCATGATTAGAGGAGATAACAGAAGTTACTTTGCCTTTTCATCGTGCAGCCTCCCTTGCCTGACTTAGGTCTCCATTTGAGCCTTGGAGCAGATCAGGCTCTGAGGAACAGGAAAGATAAGAGAAGGGGTGTGCTGTTCCCTGTGCTTACTTTGTGTGTTATCTGTGTGCCAGCTCAGCGACTTTGCCTGTCACATTCCGCTGTGCAGAGGAAAAAAACTTGATTGACAAACGGATTACCAGGTTTGTTCTTCCCGTTGGAGCAACCATCAACATGGACGGCACGGCTCTTTACGAAGCAGTAGCAGCTGTATTTATTGCACAGCTGAATGACTTAGAGCTGGATATTGGCCAGATAGTTACCATTAGGTAAGACTAAGGCCACCACATGCATTTCGTTGGAGGTGGTTTTTTTAATGAATGGTACATTAACTTCAGCTACCCCATGGGGAAGCTGAAATTGTCATTCACAGCACAAGAAGTAAGAGAAGCATTCCCACTTCTTGGGTCGAGGCCTTGCCCGTGCAACCTGATGAGGAGGTGGGGTGGGCCAGGACATGCAGCTGGTGTACGGCATCATTCTGTAAATGACAATTCTTCTTCCACTGCAAGGATCTGCAAATCCAACCCAGCCTCTATCTCTGATCTGTCCAGTTTGCTTGTTAGTTACGTGATGCCTGTTATTCCAAAGTGTAACAATAACAGTATCTGTACATGACCTGTCTCATGAACTTGTCACCAGACTTTGAGCAGATGCTCTGCGAGGGGAAAACTGGAACATTTGGGCTTCTTTCTTGCAGTGAAATAAGCCTATTTGTACCAGAAAATAGAGCTTCTGTGAGCAGCATGTATTCTGAATGCCTTTCCTGGGCTTTCTTTGGGATTTAGTGTCACAGCTACAGCAGCCAGCATCGGGGCTGCAGGTGTCCCCCAAGCCGGACTTGTCACCATGGTGATTGTACTGAGCGCCGTCGGCCTGCCCGCAGAAGATGTTACTCTCATCATTGCAGTTGACTGGCTTCTGTAAGTTTAAGGCACTTGATATTTAATCATTTTTCCTTTTTTTCCCCCAATATTTACGTAAGTTGTGTGGGAGCATATGAGTCTGAGAAAGAAAACAACAAAATCATTTAGCACTGCTGCAGGAACTGGACAAAGATGCTTCTTATGGCCACGCTTGTTTGATATAGAGTTGAACACAGTAGTGGCTTTAATTCTGAGAAGTGCTACTGCATGGGATGACAGTGAGTAACATCACATCCAGAGGTGCTAACAACCTTAAAATACTGGCCACAGCATTAATCAGTCATAAGCATAAAACTCAGGAAAAAGAAATGTAACAGTACCAAGGAGTACCTCTCCTTGCATGTCAGCTGCCAGCATATTATGCTAAATTCATACACCATTCTTGGAAATCAAATGCAGCCGCAAGCAGAACATCTCAGCTGATTTCCACAAAGCACATAAAATCCATACACTGGTGGAGGAGGCAGAGGAATACAGCATGAACTAAGCAAAGCTGGTTCTGGACAGCATGCGCAGACATGGTGGGCTGTACGTGGGTCTGTGCTGCCAGAATTATCTTGCTAGGGCTGTTCCTCACCAAGAGTTGTTTAAAGACCCAGCCCCTTGATCAACAAGCACACACATGCAAACTCAGAAAGCATTCCTGATGCCTGATCCCAACCATCCCACCTCAGATGCATTAAGAGCTGACTGAGCACCTCTCAGTCCCGTTAAGCAGCTCTTTCTGGCAGAGGAGCATTTTCACCAGAAATCTTTTCTGTTCAGCTTACACCAGAATGTTTCCCTGATACTTTTGCAAAAGCCCAAAGAATCACAAGGTGTATTCTGGAGTTCAGAAGGACATCAGCATTCAGTATTGTCTCATTATTGACTGG